AGTGTTACCTAGTTATTGTGTACAAATTCTGCTAGAGCTAACCCATTCAGACCAAATCTGATTTACTAATGATTAATAAACATTCAGAGGTAGAGCTCAATCTCCTGATTGACTCACTCAGTTTGACTATTAGTCTGTAAGTAATATGTAGTAGAAGGGTTCTCTTAAATTCTGAAAAGTGTATACAAGTCCTGTATGAATTTTGACTCAAATTACAGTCTACAATTGTGAATAAGCTTTCAAGGGAGTCTGTGTAACTAGAAGACATAATCCTAATAAATGTATACTATACTTTTAGAAGTGAGTTCTGTTCAGGTTGGAACTGTATGAACTTGCTTAGAGAATTAGTTAACAATTATACAGATAGTGTTGTAACTCTAAGACTTGAGTAGCTTACTAATCAGGTCTACTAAGACTTCTTCCTAAGAGTAATCTAAGATCTAATACAAATGTAAGAGAGTCTGAACTCTTGTCTGGTAGGCTTTAGTCTGTTAGTATGTTTTATAACTAGTTACATACTTGTAAAGGCTAGAGCCTCACTCAAGAACACAGAACAGGCAAAGACCTGGGATTGATGAGAGGTTGACCTAAGTACAGGAGCAAGTACAAAGATAATCTCTAAGTGTCTACAAATAGCCCTTTATATACTTAACTAAAGTCATGTGTGTAACCTCAGAGGTTACACTCTTCCCTACTCTGAAGAAATAAAAGGAGGGGGTAGGGAAGTAATTAATAGAGAGGCAAAGGAAAGGATATAGTAAAGGGAGGGGGAGGTAAAATGGAAGATTATAGTAAGGGGGGGGAGGGGAAATACAAAAGGGTAAGGACAGAAGACAAGGAACACACAGTCACAAGTTTAAGAAGGCTTCAACTTGTCAATAAAAACACACAGAGACAAGGACAGGGATGAGGAGTACATAATGGTTGAGACATGAAACCACACTGCCAGGAATGCATGAATGATACCTAACAGGTCTAGTAAGTAGTGAGTACAGTATTACTACAGATGAGGAGAAGACAACTAAGATGTTAACTAAAACACATGGTTAAGACATTAAATAGTACTGTAAGGAATGTATGAATAATACCTAACAGGTCTAGTGAGCACAGTGTTACTACAGATAAGGAGAAGACAACTGAGAAGGTCTTGTTTGACTAACAGTAGGTTGGGTGTTAGAGGTGATAGGAGTTGTTTAGTAGTGTGAGTAAAAAGGAGTATGAAAGTTAGAGTGTATAATAAAGAGAACTCAACAACTCTTCAGTTATGCTAGCACCTGTTACTTGGGGGACAACTGAGACATTGATTGAAACACATGGTTAAGAAGTGAACAGCCATCCTTAAGCATACATTAGTACTAGGAGGAGTGGAAGGACTAGGTTGACAAAATTGACATACTAGTTCTAGGAGTAATGAGAGTACAGATAGTGTGTAGGTAAAACAGAGTATATAGAGACAACAGGGGGTCTGTTTATACTAGAAGGACAAAGAGGGACAGGACAGGATGGGACAGGACAGGACAGGACAGGAAAGGACTAAATAACACTAGTAGAGTATAATCTCTGACTAGGTTTATAATTAGGAATAACACTAGTAGGGGCTTGATACTCTAACTAGGTCTAGGACTGGAGGTGACACTAGTAGAGGCCTTAGATGTTCAGGACTAGGATTGACACTAGTAGGGGCTTAGTACCCTGACTAGGTCCATAACTAGAAAAGGGACTTTATACTCTAGGAAACAGGAGGTGATACTAGTAGAGGCCTTATACATTTAGGACTAGAATTGACACTAGTAGGGGCTTAGTACCCTGACTAGGTCCACAACTGGAAAAGGGGCTGTATACTCTAGGAAACAGGAAGGGAAGGAAAAGGGACTTTATACTCTTAGTAGACAGTAGACAATAATAGTAAACACTAGATAGTGACAGAGTAAGAGATAGTATAGTAAGGAATAGACAGTCTTGACAAACACCTTAACAATAGAGAGATACACATTATAGTAGGTACAACAAGCATACAACAAATATGCTATAGTTGACAGCTTAATCATAATGTCTGTTGTACTAAAAGTAGACAGTATCTGTCAGTGTAGAATTTGCAGCTCTCAAAGAGAATTACACTACAGTTCCAGACCAGATATTAGTAGTAGTATTAAGATAGTGCTTCCTTACACAATTTCAGGACTAGTATTGTTCTTAGGATTAAGGAGCTCAAGTTTGATTGTTCTCTAGTTTGAGGTTGTAATAAGTAGTAGAGGAAGTATGAGTAGAGACAGACATAGATAATCTGCTCAAAGTGGTACAGTAAAAGCATATTCTTGAGTAGTAGAACCTTGATTGTAGACAGCTGACCAGACTCACAATAATGTGTGACACACATAACTCTAGTGTAACTACACACACTCTTCTTAACACCTTCTCCTAGAATCCAGGGACCAATCTGATAAGGGTTTGCTGGGAGAGAGTGGTACAGGAGAGGGTGGCACATAGTCTGGAGAGGGTAGTACAGTAAAAGTATATATTCAAGTAGCAGAATCTTACTTGTAGCCAACTGACAAGACTCACAATAAGGTACAATGTACACAACTCTAGTACAACTGTATACAATCTTCCTAACACATTCTCCTAGAATCCTAGGACTAATCTGATGAGGGTCTGTTAGGAGATCAAAGGTGGGCCAGTAGGTAGTAATATTCTCCCTATAAGCCTTTAAGAGTGAACAGGAATTCAGTATAGTATTTGTAAAGTTTATAATTAACTAGAGTATTACTATAGAGTACTGTAAGTGTGTAGGAGATAGTAAACATGTGGGGGGAAGCCAGGGGGGGGAGGCTGACAATCTGGTAGCACAAGTAAAAGGTAGTAGATGAGAGGTAATCCCTAAATTTTATAATGTTCAAAAAAAAGTGTAAAGGCTAGAGCCTTACTCAAGAACACAGAACAGGCAAAGACCTAGGATTGATGAGAGGTTGACCTAAGTACAGGAGCAAGTACAAAGATAATCTCTAAGTGTCTACAAATAGCCCTTTATATACTTAACTAAAGTCATGTGTGTAACCTTAGAGGTTACAATACTTTAGGATTTCCCTCTACATTCCTGGCCACTAGTAGTTCTAAGTAATGAGTTCTTACATTTTGTGTTAGCCTGAATGTTCTACAGTTGAATTGTTATAATAAGCTTAGACAATGTCCTCCTACAGTTTCTGATCCTTTAGAACATACAGTCAGTCTTCCTAATAATGTTAGTAACAGTATAGAGGGGACCCAAAGGCTTAGTGAGAGGACCCAGGCTACAACTATTCTACACAATAGAAATACAGAACACAAGTACTAGAACATAGTCAGAACTTACAGAACAGGCAGAGAGAGAGAGTGAGACAAGAGTAGAGTATATAGAGTAAGTCTAAGAGTACAGGACTACCTAGAGTAGACAAGATCAAGACTACAGGACTAGTCTGATCTTATACACCTATATATACTAAACTACACAAGAGTACTCAGAGAGTATGAGCTACTAAGAATGATAAGCTACAAAGAATGAAAGAAAGGAATGTTAAAGATAAAGGTACAAAGAATGAAGGGATAGACAAAGGGTAAGAGACTATAGAATGAATAAAGAATGAAGGAGTGGTCAAAGGAATGGAATGATGAAGTAAGGAAGGGTAGTAGTAAGAGTCAGTACATATATAGTCTATAAACAGTGCTCCTAAGGGACAGAAGTCCTGAGTTCTGGTACAGAAGGGTGTAGAACCCTTAGAACTGAAGGTAAGAGAGTAGAGGATTGTAACATTACCCTCCTTCTAAAACCAATTGTCCTGATTAGTAAACATTAGGCTTGGTTAGCAGCTCAGGTATAGGTTAGAACAGTAAGGTTTGGAAATCTGTAAGGCAGAGTTAATACAGAGCACCTGGATGAAGTTGATAGAAGTCTCAGATTGTCTTAGTAGTATGGGTGAGATTCTCAGCAGGTTCCCAAGTGTGTTCTTCAACTGAGTATCCCTTCTAGTAGATAAGGAACTTGAGCTTTCTGTACACTAGCTTAGTATCTACTATATACTCTACTTTGTATTCTGGTTTAGAACTGATGAGTTCTAGTAGAGGCAGTAAGGGTCTTTGTTACAAAGGAAAACCTAGATTATAGTACTGAGACAGTAGAACCTTGTTGAACACTGAGTGTATACACTTCTATATTGCTAGAAGTTAGAGTTTGTAGACAGAGGTACTAACCTTCTTTTTAATAACAAAGGGTCTGAAGCACTTGTTGTCCAACTTCTTCATTAGGTAATCCATGGTCAGGTTAGTAGCTTCTAGTATAACTTTGTTACTAGGCTGGTAATCCTTAGCTGTAGACCTTTTCCAATCATAGTTCTGCTTTATAACCTGTACTACCTTTTCTAAAAGAGCTTGTGTATCCTCCCTGGTTCTGTGTATCTGTTCTACAAAGTCTGTTACAGATTCAGAACTACTGTTCTGGTTCAGAACTGTCCCCTAGTACAGATGTCTCCTATAATTGAGGAAGAACAGGGACTGTCCTGTTACAGAGTGTTACTAGTTATTGTACACAAATTCTGCTAGAGCTAACCATTCAGACCAATCCAATTACTAATAATTGATGAACATTCAGAGGTAGAGCTCAATCTCCTGATTGACTTGCTCAGTTTGACTGTCAGTCTGTAAGTAATAGACAGTGGAAGAGTTCCCTTGAATTCTGAGAAGTGTATACAAGTCCTACATGAATTTTGACTCAAATTACAGTCTACAATCATGAATAAGCTTCTGAGGGAGTCTGTACAACTAGAAGACATGATTCTAATAAATGCACACTATACCTTTAGAAGTGAGTTCTGTTCAGGTTGGAACTGTATAGACTTGCTTAGAGAATCAGTCAATAATTATACAGATAGTATTGTAACTCTAAGACTCAGGTAGCTTACTAATCAGGTCTACTGAGACTTCTTCCTAAGGGTGATCTAGGATTCAATGTGGATGTAGAGGAGTCTGAACCCTTGTCTGGTAGGTCTTAGTCTGTTAGCACATATTGTAACCAGTCACATACTTTAGGATTTCCCTCTACATTCTAGACTACTAGTAGTTCTGAGTAATGAGTTCCTGTGTTTTGTGTCAGCCTAGATGTCTTATAGTCAGATTATTGTGATGAGCTCAGACAATGTCCTCCTACAGCTTCCAATCCTTCAGAACATACAGTCAGCCTTCCTAGTAAACCTGTCTATCCTTATCCTCCTCCTAATCCCTTGCCTGCTTCTCTAACTACTTTACTACAACCCAGTCCTGTGTGTGTCTTAGAGCTTACTGTATACAGGTGACAAAGTTAACATCCTTGGATTTGAGTCAGATCTCTCAGATTGTCTTGGACACAAAACAGGAATTGTCTAGGAGAACAAGATTTTCATTATTATTCTCCCTCCTTTTATAACCTACTTGTCTTAAGAGTAAATCAGCTTTTGTCATTTGTATTCTGAGTTTGTGGGTTAGTACAAAGTCATAGTCCTACAGTTCTAACATCCAGTAGGCTTGACAGCAGTTGAGCTTCTGAGACACTTAGAAGTACTAGAGATTAAAGTGATCACTCTAAATCTCAAACTTCTGTACAGTACTAAGGAGATATTAACACTACTCCTCTAAGGAACAGACAATTGTAAGGAGTTCCTTGTCATAGATAGGGTAGTTCTGTTCTGTTACAGAGAGGGATTCTGATCAGAACACTATCAGACACTACTTTCTGTTAATGAACTAGGACAGTACTACTCTATTTACAAAGTTAGAAGAGTTGGCTTTGACTCAGAACTTGTCTACAACTGTCAGAACTGTTAATACAGGCTTACTAGTAATAGCCTACTTTAGGGACTCAAACACAGACTACTACTGATCCTCCTATTACTAAGGAACATCTTTGCTAGTAAGATTGTGAAGAGGCTAGACAATAGTACTGAAGCCTTGAATGAAGCATTAGTAGTAGTTTACAAACCTAAGGAACACTTGGACCTGTTTCAGGTTCTAAGGTTGTAGCCAGTTCCAAACTGTAGTTACCTTTGCCAGATCCATACAGACCTCTCCTCCACCAATCACAAAGCCTAGATAATCTACTGACTCTTGTACAAAAGAGTACTTTACTTCTTAGAGAAACAGTTTATTATCTTAGAGTTGTTGTAGAACTGCTTGGATCAGTTAGTAATAGTGCTTGACTGTCTGGGTGAAGATCAGAATGTTGTCCAGATACACACTAACATGCTCTGAGTCAATCAGATCCACAAGAATGTGATTCATGAATGACTAGAATGTTGTAGGCAAGTTAGTTAGTCTGAAGAACATTATAGTTGGTTTGTACAATCTGTAATTGGTTCAGAATACAGCCTTCTACTCATCTCTGTCTTGGATCTGAATATTATTGTATCCCTATTGAATGTCCAACTTAGTGAAAACCCTGGATGTATGTGTCTTATCAATGAGCTCCTGAATCAGAGGGAGTAGGTACTTGTTTTTAACAGTACCCTTATTAAGACAACAATAATCCTAGACTAGGTAGAGCTTCCTATCTTTCTTTTTGACAAAGAAGAAAGGGGAGGCTATAGAGGACTTTGAGGGTCAGATCTAACTGTTCTGAAGATTTTCCTAAAGGAACTCATCAAGCACCTCCTACTTGTCTCTGTTGAGTAGGTAGACCTTACAATCCTTAAGTTAGAAACCCTTAGTCAATTCAATTATATAGTCCTAGAGATAGTATTCAGGAAGCTGGTCAAATTCCTCTTTACTAAAGACTTTAGGGAACTCTCAGACAAAATCTGGCAGGCTGAGTCTATGTGTGTTCTAGAGTAGAGTTGTTTCAAGAGGGTTCTAGACTAGTTCTGTCTTAAACATCCTTTAGATTGACTCTATTCTACCTTGACTAGAATATGTATCCACATATCTATCCTAGTTGAAGAAGAACAACTAGTCACCTTCATCAGAACTGTCAGTAACATTGGAAGTGTCTACATCTACTCAGAACAGTAGTGTAAGGTAGCTGTAAGACTTAGGACACTGATTAAATACAAGTGTTTACTCTAACCAGTCAATAGTAGGGTTGTAAGCCTTGAGCCATTTGAATCTAATGAAGATGTCTGTCTTTCTAAGGTTAGTGACTCTGAACTCAATACTTTCCTCATAATCCTGAATAGTCATCCATAGTTGGACAAACTCAGTAATCCAACCATTCTGGTTCAGGGTTCTGTCTACATTGTATACTAGGATCAGAAGTAGAATGTGTTAAGTAGGGAGGTGGTGTTCCTACACAAAGGCCTCATTAATACACAAACCAGTACATCTACTATCTATCAGAACTGTTGTTCAGATCTAGAGGGATCCTAAGAAGGGAGCCAAAAGGACAGAGACTTAGAGCTAGTACCCAGAATGTTCTCAGATGAACTGCTACTTGTTCTGAAGGGAACATACAGCTTGTGTAGCCTTGTTGTCCAAGAGGGTAAGTATATGTACTAACATTTCCTTATTAACCTCTCTCTTTTGACAAGGACAAACTTATGTCCTTAGCTATAAACTCAGCTAAGACCATCTCTGCTTAATACTATAGACAAACTACTGAGTAGTAAACAGGGCTAGGTAGCATTCTGAACATTCTGAGATCTTAGAACACAGAAGTAACAGGTTGAATTGTACAGATTTAGACTCAGATGAAGTGTAAAGAGAAGAATCAAAAGAATCAGAAGAAATAGGAGAACTATCTACTTTTGTTTCCAACTTTTTTCTTTCTAATAAATAATTTTGTTGATTTATTTTTTCTA